CCACTTCATCGTCATTAAATTCTCATTTTCATTCGTCATCAGCCGACGAATAAAATAATTCAGAAAAAAAAATACATGTGAAATTATTCGCTATGTGGTCTTGTTGCACTTCCTCGAATGATTCGTTTCACGTAAGGCGCAGCGAATGGATAACCGCAGAAGACTAAAAATCCAAAGTAATAAACACTCGAGTAGACATGCATGTAATGGGAATAGGAAAGTAAGCCGAATGGCACGAATGCGTGGCCCATGAAGATGAGTGTGTAAATCTTCTGGATTGACCATGCGATGACTTTTCCATGTGGAGTGGCAACCATTGCCTGCAATTTATCGTTTTTCCGCAGGACTGGAGTGATCTGAAAATTGAAAAATCAAACCGGAGAGAGTGATTCAGAGTGATTTCCGCATTGAAAATTGAGATTGCACAATTTCTGGAAGAAGGATAATTCCAAAAATTGAATAACTCTTGTTATAACATAGTGTCAATACAGTAGACGACCGTTATAATCGCACTGATGGAGGAATAAGGGAAGCGAATTCGGAGAATGCGACTGTACTTCGCTACCCCCACACACGCGCTCGCGCGGGGCGGGATTTCCGAGAACTGCGGCCATAAAATACAAATACTGATTTAATTTAATTTTTATTCAATTTAACGCTTCATCAAATAAGTTCAACCATTACGTTAACATTTCAATGTACATTTAATTACCTTTTTTGTATAGTCTACCAATTTTTTTTATCAAGAGACTTTTTTTATCACGAGAACGATCGCGCGCTTGAGTCGAACACGTGCGGGCGGATCCGAATGTTCGACCAATGAAATTCGAGGAATGAGCGTTACGCTACAGCTTACGGCGTATGTTCTTTTTAGAATAGGAAAGTGGTTTTGGTCTTCTAGTTTTAGTTGTAGGATTCACCTTAATTCTTTAATTTTTTATCGGCAATCTTGTTGTTATTTTCTTCATTCTGATTCATTATCTAGTTCACCTTATCGCAACAAAACTAGAACCTCTCCCCATGACAGTCTAGAGGGAAATAAATCTCATCATCGAAAATTCATCTTTGGAGTATTTTATTTTTCGGGTTTCCTGGAATTGAGACAATGCCTCATGAAAGATAACGTTAGAGTGATTATAGTAGACCTTTGCTAATTGCACGCTCGGTAGTTGCTGAATTTCCCCTAATCCCCCGAGTGGAAATTCTGTTTAGGTCTCGATCAGAAACTGATCAAGTCCAATCCGAAATTCTGATCAGGCATGTTACGCCTCCGCCTTATGTTTTTCCACTAGGGTCGTTATAGTCGCATTTCCCCTCATATCGATTTTTCGGCCCGCGAGCGCTCCCCCCACTCCATTACCTACGAAAGCCTTTAAATGAATGCTCCTGCTTGTCCTGGCGGAGTCATTGTTTTTGAATTCTCGGAAATTCGCAAAATAAAATACTGAAAATATGAATTTACGATGGGTAGACATTTAGTCTGCTCCTGATCGTCACGGAGAGAGGTTACACTTTTATTGTGGTAAAATAGGTTAAAATTTGATTAGTTAGTTGATCGAGTGAAAATTTAAATGAATTGAAAAATGGATCCACATGACAATAATTAATTATTAATAATAACTAATTAATTTTTATTTTTATTGGTCATTATAATATCATAATTGTCATGATAATTATTATTATATTTTCATTTTTTCATCAGTAAAATGAAAAGAAAAATTCAGTATTTTTATTTTATCAATGTCGATTCTGAGAAATGACGCCCGGAGTAAGCACGTGGTGGTGGAAGGTGAATACAGTCGCATTCCCCGAATTCACTTCCCCAACAGCCCCTTGACTGTGACTCTAACGGGAGTCTACTGTATATCGAACGATATTTTTCATCACGCTGTGACGAAAAGTGAACTTTTCGGCACGCTCCGCGTGCCTAAAAGTCCAATTTCCGCCACATTGTGATGAAAAATATTGTTCGTAACTCGTGAAAAAATGTTTTTTAGCTCGTGGGATTATATCACTCGTCTTCGGCTCGTGATATAAACCTCCCACTCGCCAAAAAACACTTTTTTGCACTCGTTACGAAATATACTATTTTGTCATTGCGAGGTTAAATCCCGGTTTATCGGGTCTAGTCACAAAAAATCAATAGCGGAAGTGTGACTAACACGTGCGACTATAACAGGAGACTACTGTATGGCGAATGATTCGGTGTCAATAGTGCTGTCGCGTGCTTCCTCTGTGATCCGTCTCTTCTAGTTGAACTTAGGAACCAATTTATTTCTATTTCTTATTTTGCTACAACGTATACTACTCTCAACGGAGGAAGGAAGTCTCATTGTCATTGGTTCCATTTGTAACTATCCCTCATACTATTGGTTTCAAGAATTGTCGGAGGAGGGGTTGTACATTGGGTACCTCTGCTGGGTCCTCTATTTTTATATCGAAAGGTCGACATTTCGTCTCGAAAGTTGAGGCAAGTGTAATAAAACAGAAAAAATGTAAACGTGATTTTAGAATTTTGAGGATTATCGGACGTACGTTCTGACATTTACGATTATTTACGGGCCTGAAATGGCAACAGAAATAGTATTTTTCCGGCCTGTTGCGATGGGGTTTTTTACTCGTGTGGCGTTGGCCTCCGCGCCGCAGGCGAGGACTGGCCAACCACACGAGTAAAAAAACCCCATCGCAACAGCCCAGGAACAATATTTTTCTGTAGTGATTTTCAAGTTTTCGAGTTTGGGAAGTATGTA